TTAGCAAAACTTAAACCTTTTTAAAAAGAAAATCCTTTGCCTTCGAGAAACTATCTTCACAGGGATTCCACATATGGTGCATTTTCCATAAAAAAGAAGCTAAAGAGCCCTTGATGCTAAAAATGGATTAAATGTAGAACAATTCGAAATAACGAACAACATAAGAGATAGTTCACTATCTGTATCTAATACCTCTTCCAGTTGGACCACATTGCTTCTGCATTTCCTATTGCACTCTGAAGATACACCGTTAGAGCATACCCAAAAGACGTCTTCTTATTCCACTCAATCGCCAAATCGTCACGAAACGAGTGATAATCCTGGCCCAGAGAAGGCCCCTGAACCACGATATTAAATTCCTCGAAAAACAATTTTAGTGAGAGATACCCGTAAAAACGTCTTAACACCAAAAGCAAAAATAACTATAAACACCTCAGCGAACTCATGATGCAGGCATGGAGCTGAACTGTATTTCTTCATTCCCAGATTTACAATATCCGGATCAGCAATTGGTATAAATTTGCATGACGGGAACAAAAGCTATAAAATTTTATTTTTAACAATTTCAACTTAATTAAAAGTGCAGGTTAAAGCGAAGCACTAAGAAAAACGCAGTTTCACGTTTGTTCAAAAAAATGAAATAAACTGTAAACGTATAGAAGAACCATTCGCTCCTAAATCACTCCTGCAAGACATTACGTGTAATCAAAACTAAAGCCAAGAACGATTTTGCCTTCAACGGTCTTCAAAAGTGAAACACTTAAAATCTTTAAACCATAATTAGTAATTACTGTCCATGTTAAAGCTCCTTTTCTTCTAAAAATATTTTATTTCTTCTAATATGCACTTCTCATCCAGCCGACAAACACAATAAGCCAGACAGTTACTCTATTTCCGTATGTACAACTATTCATCTCAGAAAGCGTGCAAAGTTACGTTACGCGATGCGTAAAAATCATGTATAAATAATAATTCATATAGCTTGCAAAAAATCTACAATAGAACAAAACAAATTTCATGTTCTGAAGCGAATATCAGGTCCACTAAAATAACACTGGACCGCTGGCCTGCCAACAGTACATTGAAACTATTGCCGAAGCGCGTCTCAGGAAAAGAGAAGCATATTCTTAAAATACAAAACAGATGTGACCTTCCCAATTTTTCCAAAACAAAATGGTGACCAGAAACTGCGTTATACCTCCACTCGTGGTTGATCTTTCTTCTCTTCCACCGCTACAGTTCCAGACTTCTCCCTACAACCAGTAGATGGCCCACTTTCAGGGACCGATCCGCGAGGAACATGCCCTGAGCAGCGCTTCTTTTTTGAACGGTTATCCTTGCTCGGACTATTCCCAGCTGAATACGAACGCGCTCTTCCTCTTTTTCCACCGAGAATAAATTTCCCTCAAAGAGAAATAGAAAAAGACTAGACAGGTAACATCAAATAATCTATTCTAAAAATAAATCTTGTCAACAGCCTTTTACCAACAACGAAAGCACAAGCCGCTATAAGAAACTGAACATAACTAAAAAAGCGCTTCAAAAGTATACTTCTGTATTCTTTCAGAACCTGCAGATGCCTCACGTTGGCCAAAGGTTCCCACGTACACTGATTTAGTTCAAATCCTGTCCACTTCACCTTAAAACCCGGTAGTAAAATATACTCTAATATGCTGTAATACTCTTACAACAGTCGCCATTTGGTGCCACTCTGCCAGAAGAGTGCAAGGTTACAAGAACGATTGCATCCTTACCCTGTAGAAAATCTCGTCTGGATTGCAGTTACGCTTTCCTACTTCTCCTCGGCGGCGAAGGATTTCATATCTAAAACATCATCCACAGTGCTAGCTAACTGTCTCCTTCTCTGATATTAAAAAGAAAAAAACAGTAACATTAACAAAAAAAAGAAAAAATTCACGAGAAAGTATGATCTTACCGTTCATGCCCCAATATATCGTCAACCTCATATTCTACTTCCTTTCCTGTACTTTCTGCAGTGGCGTTGCAATGACCTTCCTCCGCATCAAAGTCTTCCTCGGCGCTTGAGTCTAGCGACATTCTAATAAGCACACTAGAAGATTAACAATATTTGAAACTTAGTAGAAAAACTGAACGAAAGAAAAAGCGCAAGAAAAAAACCGCTGGATGAGTTGTTTAAGCGAAAGAATTTCTCAACAACAACACCAACAGATTGATAGCCTTCCATTGCAATTTGAGTTCGCGACTGTGTTCGCCTCTGCTTGTTATTACCAAACATCTTTTGGCAAATCTTTTCTCTTATCATGCGGAACTGTTCACTCGCAAAGCAAAAATGTTTTGCGGTGAAAATCTTCGATGGCTGCCAACGTTTTGACCAAAATAAAATGATAAACGGAAAAAACACATGTAAGCAGAACCACATCCATTAATAACAAGAAAAATACGTCACTAGAAGGAAGTTTCATCAGCTGCAATTAATCCGAAGCAACCTACAAGGAATTATAAAAAACCAAAACCGCAGGTAATCCGAAACAGAATAACGACCTGTGGTCTCACAAAAAAAATTTGGAGCAACCCTGAGCTAAAAATTTGAAAACAAAATCTACGCTTTTGGCTTCAGTAGTTGTAAATTACTGTAAATTTTATCAAATTGCCTGAAGGACAAAAATAAAGTAAACTGTGTAGCTTACAGCTGCAACGCGTTTGCTCTCTATTTTCGCACCTAAAATTCTGTAATAGTTAGCGACTGCAAAACGAAAAGCACGGTGACGGCGGTCCGATACGTTGTTTGTGTTTTGTAGCTGCAGCTACCAGCAGTTGTTGAGGAGTTTTTGTGATGGAAGTGAAAAATGACTAGTTAATTGAGACAGACTGTAGCTTGGACATCGTTGTCGTAGCGGTATTCTTCAGCTTCAAAAAATTTTGGTTGCGTTAAATCAAATGGAGGCTGTAGCAGCAATGCTTGAATTCGCTGGTAGAAGATTATTTGTCAGTAACGTAAGTAGACCTATGTTGTAAAAATAGTTGTTTTTTAATTTCTTAAAAGAGCGATTCATGATGGCTGATGAATTGTATGCCGCAAGCAGGATACGTCTATCTTTTGGTCAATATTCTAAATGTTATACATCAGGCAGGTTAGGAAATCGATTTGGGCAGTTTTTTCAACACCTCATCGATCTATCTTTTCGGTAATAAAACTGTTTAGTTCTAAAAATAGACGTATTGTTAAAGTAATGTATGTTTAGCTCAGAAAACAACGATTTTTCCTTTATTTGCTATGTCAGTCAGTAAGTTTTAACTCTGTTATTACAACCTCAAAATCTAGAGCTTTGGTGGTTTTCCATTGCAAGCATTACTTATTTGCATGCTAAAACCCTTACTGTATCAGCGTATAATTTCTGCTCTGTATGAGAAGACAAGGCCGATTCCTTACAGCGATATGGTACTGTGGTTATGAGAAACATCACTAAAAATGGATGAAGGTTTTCTTCAGTAGATGAATAATCAAAATTATCCTCAAGAGGAGGTTATAAATGGATTTTAACGTGAGCAAACTTCAGTACAAAAATGCTGAGGTAAAGTGCTTTAAATTCTGCATTGCAACTTTCAATTTAGCAACGTTCTTCCGTTTAGCTGGAATGTCATTAAAGGGAAAAAGAAATTGTTTGCAGGTTTTCTGGCGCTGTAGTATTTGTTGCAGTGATACATGAAAAAATAGAAAATAACAAATTTAAAGTGTTTTATTTGCAGGTAATTGGTACTCTTTAGAAGAATTCTGAACAGGTGCCAGAATATAAAAAGATGAAATACAGGGAATTCGTTAAAGAAGGCTTTTATAAATGCAGTTTCAAGAAAGCTTGAATTGTCAATAAATTTATCACAGTACGTAAACAATAAAAGGTGAAAATCTTCTAGTACACTCATTTTTTTGAAAATACACAGACGTAGCATAAAGGACTCTGACTAAGTTTATCAGTTTTCGGTATCTGTATGTGCCTTTGTTACACGTTTGAATTAGACTAGACATTGTTTGCCGCAAAAGTTTGGTGGTCATCGTAGCTAGTAGCCTAATGGTCACTCTCTTGATAGTCTTTAATTCTGAGACGTCTCTTGTAAAGTTCTCTTGCAAAGCTACTCAACAAATGGAAAGGATATGGCTGCAACAAATGGATTTTACGCTAAAGCCTTGTTTTTTTTTTGGAGTAATATTTTTGAAAAACGGAAATTAGTAAGAAAAGGAAACAGTGATTTTTTCTTTAATTATATTTCACCCGAAAATTATACAGAAAGGAGATTTTCCATGGTGAATCACAATGATCCGCGAAGATACAGATGCTGTTAATTCTAGCGTTATATCTTGACGTTGTTTAACTGTTTCCTTCGTCGTTCACTAATTAACAGCTTTAGGTGATGTATTTGTTTTACATAAAGCAACAGAAAGAGCTGTCCTCTCCACCGTACCACCGACGTTCCCCATTCGCTTTGGCCTGTGCGCATAGTTGTTCTTCGATCCGTATTTGTCGCACAATATCTTCAAATATCTGTAAACCACAATTTTACAAGTTTCTAAGCACTTTTACTTTTAAAGCCAGACAGAATTACTAAGTTAATTGTTTGGCGCTTATCAAATAGCAAGAAGAGTTCATTTATTATTCATTTGATTATTCAAAAATCTATACTAGTAGAAAATTTTGATTTATCAGTAGGGAAATAAAGTACCGAAAGGACGTTAATGTTTTCTTTGGCAGAACTTTCGCAAAAGGTTGAGTTGAACTGCATCGCTAACTGCTCTCCATCTTCTTTTGAAACAATACGGTTTTCGAGATCATCACATTTATTGCCGACCAGTATTAGTGGGAACTTAAGAAGAAAGGGCATAGTTTATTTTCGCACCCTACACTATCTTTAAAGTCAAAGATAATTGGCGTATAAAAGTCCTTTTAAATAATAAAGTAATTGGCAGTATAAATTTCTGTTTGTTGTTTTGATCTTGAAAGAGTTTGTCGCTATGAACGACTCATAAATGATCCTGATAACTGTTTAAAAAGACAAATTTTTTTACGAAAGAGAAATATTTCTCAATATTATTAGAATAAATTTCTTGGTTTTTAGATGAAGGAAGCTTCCAACGGAATAAGTCTGCTCAGTTTTAGGCGTCGGTCTCGTGAACGAGTATTAGCACTGACTTTTGAAAGTAGCAATTTAATAAAAGGATAAAAAATCAGTAAGCAGTTATTTCACGGACGGGATTTGTCTTTCAGACGAAAATGTTAATTGTATTATAAAAATTATTCTGATTTTTGGTGGCAATTCACTTAATCTTCATCTTTATTTTTAATTAGTTAATTTTGGTCAGGGATTCTAATTTATTTATTTATTCTTTGAAAAAAAATAGTAATAATAAGCTTAACAATCATTAGGGAAGAAAAAACCGCATTGAAGAAACCTACATGATACTTCTGCCGGACTCGAACCAAATTTTGAAAGATATCTGTAGCTTCAGTAAGGCTAAGTGGGTCGGTAACGGAGTATACAATTATAAAACCTTCACCATTCTTCATATATAAATCACGCATTGCAGTAAATTGTTCCTGCAAAAGAAACAATAAATCACTGTTTTGTTTTAAAACTTCCCAATCAATACTAGACACTTTTTTCAAAGATAATCATTAAAAAAAAACTAGTGGTAGCAGCAAATTTTAGTTTGAGGAGCAAAAAATATTTAAAAGTAAAGTAATCTAATAGCATTCTATAAAAAGTGATGAGTTTTACCGTGCCAGCTGTATCCAATATTTCTAAAATGCACGATTTACCGTCAACACTGATCTGTTTCCTAAAACTGTCCTCAATTGTTGGATCATAACGTTCCACAAATATACCTTTTACCAGTTGTGTTGTCTACAACAAAAGTAAAAAAAACGACTTAGAAGAGGAACATATCAGCACTTCACCTTTGACAAAAATAATGTGAAATACAGAAAAAAAAAAGCCAAACAAAATTTTTTGGCAAAACTATAGCAGATTTTCGGGAAGGATCTGTTCATTGGGATTTTGTTGTAAAGGATTTAATGAAAATTATTAGCTATAGAAAGTCATAAAAATTGTACATAAAAATTTATTGAAAAAAATAACTGGTGTTTTTTTAGCAGCTTTTTTTTAAACTGACACACAAAAAAGTTTTTTTTAATAAAATAAAAGCCTAAATAGGAGCAAAAAAAGGGTGTATCTGAACAGGTGTTCAATTTTAAATATCAATCCTTTGGCACTGTTTTCTTTTTTCCGGAATAAATAAAACAGAAAGTTGAGATGAAACGAGAAGCAAAAAAAAAGAAATAGAAAGGTGTGTCACTTTTCAGTCATAATTTGTTTGAATAATTTTATCAAAAAGAAAATATTTCAACAAAAAATACTAACGAATAACACTTACAAAAAATACAGTTTAGTATCACCCCTGTCACCCCTCCCTCCGTCCGAAAAAATGTGGTTTTTTCTTTTGTTTTCACTGTAATACAAAAACGATAATGTTCGATTACTTCCGTTTTTAATTTTAATTTTCAGTAGAAAACTAAAAGTTGATAAGATACAAAAAAAACCTTAATCAGTTATATAATTTTAATTCCTTTTATCAACCAAATGGAGGATAGACTAACGGTTTTTTTGAAGAGTAAGCTGAGTGGAACATAAAAATTGTTTCCCTTACGTCAATAACCAAAGGTCTAACTTTAAAGTGACAACATAACAATCGCTCAATTTGTCAGCATTTTGTCATTGTTTTTACAAAAAAGAAAAATGTCATTAAAGCTGTTATAGTCATTTTAAGTCAACGAAAAATTATATTTTCAATAAGAGACTACAACAGCTACTTAACAGCAGTAATATTTGATTTTAATGTTTTGAGATCTCTAGCAATGCCACTTAAATTTTCTTAAGCTTTTTTGTAAGAAAAACTAAGTGAAAAGTTGAGTATACATAGAGCTGAAATGTGAAGGCCGAGGACAGATTATACGAGATAAGCGGAAGTGAATAGATAAATTATTATTTTTTGACTACTATCCAAATATTGCTAAGCCAAACTGCGGCAACAGAATTCAACGTAAAGTTTAAACAACAGCATATCACGGTACTGAACAGGAAGATTCTGATGGCTTTTAAGGGCAAATGCAGCAGCAGCAGCAAAATTATTCTCAACAATCAAATTTTATATTTTCAGGCAGAAATAATTGCTGCACTAATGACTGTTAAGGATAACAGAAAAGATACAAAAAAAAAAAAATATGGAAATCAAAATTTGGAAAACGTATTTTTTTCCAGTTTTTCTTTTTTTTCCTATTATTTTATTTTATTTTATTTTTCGTCGTCAGTCAAACTAATTTATTAATATAAAACAAAATGGCAACTAAATTGAAGACTGGAAAACAGAAAGAGTTGTAAAACAAAAATGGAAGAGAAACAAAATGATAAAGTTACCAATTAGATAAAGTGTAAAAATTTAATAGAAAAAATTTTCTTTCTTTTTTTTTTTTGGCTGCTTTATTTGTATTTTATCGTCATTGACAAAACAGATAAAAAAAAAAGAAATTTGAAAAATTTAAAAGATTTTATCGACTTTAATCTTCATTCTTTTCTTTCCTTTTACTTTTCTTTTCAGTTTTTCTTTTTCCTTCTTCTTCCTCTTCTTCTTCTTTTCCATTTTCCTCATCCACTTATCAGTGTTGTTTTATTGCAACAAATTTTCCCTAAATCATAATACAAAAACAGTGAGAAAAATACAAAAAGAAGAGAAAGAAAAAAAAAAGAGAGAAAAAAAAA